CCACTTTTTTTTGCCAGCTCTAGGCCGCTCTGGAACCAAATTACGAATTTTCGTCTGCGAAACCTCTCACGTTCTGTGAATACCCCGCCCATTGAGGGCTGGGCCTGACAAGGTCATGTGTGCTCTGTACATCTTGCCCCATGCCCTAGCCATCTCCCCGACTTGAGTCGCTCTCCAGGCAGAACCGGGTTTTCGGACACTCATCAAATTGGATAAAGTGGGGATGACAACACACGACCGCTCAACTAACTGAATTTCAGATGAACGATGGATGTTTGCGGAGGTCTGCAAAGCATCAATCAATGACCTCATCGCTAATACCCCACTTCTCTTTCATCGAAAATATTTCCATTTGAAGTGTTCTACTGCTGCAAGCGGGACGAGTTAGTGACACATCGAGCCAGTAAAACTGCGCAGTGGTTCCCATAGCGCTCATTCCCCGCTGCGGATTTCATGCGAGCACAGAATTTTCTCAAGATGGTCACTTTCAAACTTCCAGTCACCCAACGCAAACGTGGTACGTGATTCCATTACTTCACCTCTCCACACTGCCTATTGGACGGGCCACTGACCACAAAAGGGGACCTACTTGTGCACCGAGGCGTCCACGTTTCGTCAACGTCCTTCCGACGCGAGGTCACACTTAAGTCATTTGATACAGGCCACTATTAAAGTTCATCCTTCCACTCAATCAGAGTCACCATATTGTATTTGTGACCGCTGCGACATACAAGGCGAATCGTCCAATAGCTTGAGCTAAAGCTCGGCTTGTTTAAAGGCAGTTGGCACGATGGTTTCCTACTTAGCCTAAAATGCTAGTAGGGCGCTGTATAGTGGGGAAATGGCGAAAGAACGGAGTGAAACGGTCAAAATCCTGCGAAGAAAAAGCCTCCGTTCTCAGTGACTTGTAAATCGATTTCGGACGAGTTTCCCGTAGGCATCTTACCAATCACCGCTACCGAAGATACGGCTGCATACCCATATATGCATGCAGCATCACGGCCGCTTCATACCAATCCCTTCGCTTCATAATTTGCTTAGCAAATGAATGAATACGAGCGTCAGGAACGGTCGTCCATTTGTGGGCGGGCGGGCGTTTGGGACGTAAAGTTGTGGCTTGATAGGGCCCTTATAAGGGCACCTTCCTCGGGGAAACCGCTATGCAGCGCCTGCCCAGGGTCGCGGAATTCTATCCTGCCAGGAGTATTGATCCTAGTCGTCTTGGGGGATTTATCGTGCCAACTGCCTTTAAGGGGGATGGCAGTCTTGCACCCTGCGGCGATACGAGCATCAGCATCGGTTAGGGACACTTTGTGGTGCGGTGTGGGCACGGTGGAAAATTTTGTGCTGGCCAACGGGCCTGCGTCGATATGCCCTGCCCCAGCTTGATAGGGCGGGGGATATAAGGCGCCACTCAGTGCGGCTCCTAATTCCGGGTCATGTCGCAGTCGTATTTAGATTCCTACGCGTCTCTTGGGCAAGCGTGCAGCGATGGACCTGGTTTTGGCGCCGCCGCTAAGCTTCGTTTACACAACGTTTGTTGAAGCTGGTAAGCGACAACGAGCTCGCTGGAAATACGAGCTGGACTTTCGAAACAACATGGGTGACCAGAAAAGAAAAGGAAGGGGCTAGCCCACCCCTTCTTGGCACGCCCCCATATTTTCACCGCCCAAATAACATTAGCCCGTTCATTATGATACCATAAAACAGGGACAAGTGACATTAGAGCGCCAAAAATGATTTACCCCTCTTAATTTCCCTAATCGATGGTTTCGCACCATGGCCTTGCAGACAAGTGAATTAGAAGTTACCACTCGTAATATCTAGCGTGTGGGTTCGAGTCCTACTTTGAAGCCAATAAGAACTGGGTTGTAGGCTATCAGCGGAGCCGATTTGGGGGATTTAAAGGCAATTAGTACGATATATCCCCCAAGAACGATAGAGTGGTACGATAAAGATTAATACGCCTAGGACAGAAGTCGTGGCCTTTAAGAAGGAAGGTACCCTCTCAGCGTTCTATCAAGGTGTAACATACTGACCAGGCCAGCTCGCCCACAAATCTACACCATGCCCGCCCGCGCCACAAATGTCCTACCGATGCTGATGCTCGTATCGCCTCATAACGCTTTTCGTATCGCCCTCATAACGCTTTTCGTATCTAACGGAAAACCTCGTCCAAAATTTCTTTTCAAGTGGTGTGGAACAAAGGCTTTTTTTGCAGGTTTTTAACAGTTCCACTTCGTTTTTTCGCGCCGCTTTCTCCACTGTACAGCACCCCCGCTACAATTCGAGTACCAGATTATCGCGCCTTATGCCTTTGACTGCGGCCGCGGTAAGCGGGGCCATCTGCCATTGTACTCTCGGAAAGAATGTATATTGCGTTAATGAAGCCTCAATTCAGAGCAAGTCCTGAGCGCGAACTGCTCGTCCATATAACTCTGCGATTCTGGCAGGCGTAATAGCGGCATTGTTTCGGATTAATGTTGAAGTTTGATGAAGCTGAGCCAGCTCCAACAGGCACACGCTCGTTTTGCAATAATGGAAAGCTGCTACTCGAAAATCACACGATGAACATAGCAGAATATTAGTGGGACAATAGTCAAAAACCTCTCCTGGTACCTTTGAGAACAAAGCCATAAAAAAAGAAAAGCCCTTGAAGGGAGCTATCGAGCCGGAAGCTAGCTAAATTGTAACTTCGGTATTTTTCACCCTTTACCTCTGTTTTTAGAATTCAGGTGAAGTTACCATTTTTCATTTTTTTTCCGCCCTACTCGCAGTGATAGCTGGCTTTAATTTCACTAGTTTCATTGCCTGTCACCTTGGCACCTCGCTGGAGTAGAACCAAAGGGTTCTGAATAGGGGCCTTTCTCAAAACAATAGACCTGTGGCATGGTTCATCCTCCACATGGGAGCTCAGTTTAGAAAAGACGCCATCACTTATAGCTGTGTCAGCACTTCCACTGTTAGTCATTGGAAGCAAGTGTACGCTCACCTCCGAACAGCCCCGCGCCGGCATTGCGGAGCTGGCGAACGGCTGTACGCGTCCGTCATTCATAACGCGACTGTTGGGGCATGCCTGGCCGCACTGTGACGCGACAGCGGCTGTTGGCTCGATGACGCGATCAGCTAGATTTCGATGGAATTCAAACTGCGAATTTCCCACTTGTTTCAAGTCCTCCCAAGCTTTTCGAAAGTGGAAGAGGTGAGTCATTTAAACAAGGTGAATTGTATACTTGTGCTCTGATTTCCTTTATTTTTATGTCGATTATATGCTCTTTTCCTTGTATTTTGCCTTATTTCAGGCATTTATTCAAATGGCTTGCATTCTTTCAGATTCATTCAGAGCCAGTACAATTTGAAATTGTTCGAAATAACTCATCTTCCACTTTCGAAGCTTGAAGAGCTGAAAAAGTGGGAATTCGGCAGTCAAAAAAATCGGCTGATTCGCCGTCACCGAGCCGCAGCCGCTGTCGCGTCACAGTGCAGCGCGGCTCAGCCGCCCGACAGTCCGCAATGATGAGGATCTTTGTCAATCTTCGATGACTCACTCCCTTTATCTTTTCTACCTTTTGGACTGTACAGCTGTAGTAGCATGCTACCTTGTCCCGCTTAGAGGTGCATGGGAACGGGACTGTAGGATAGTGAAACAAGGTGCTGTCTCTCTACACCGCCCACCACTGGCCCCCAACTCGCCCACGCTCAGCGGTTACGTTGACATCTTGACTTGTTGTCCGGTGGTCCTGCTTGCGAAACCAGTAATGCAGACAGTCACAGGACAGCGGGTGCAGGGACGCGCAAACGGGCTTTTTCAAGGGGAGGGGGCCTCCGGGGTGGGTGAGCCACTAATGATCCGTAAAAGCTGGGATGTGCGAAGTCACAAAACCACTGTGCCAGAATGCCATGCGGACGAGAGAGTGCAGAG